GGTTGGTGGCTGCCAAGCTTGACTTGGTTAGTTGCCTTCCCATGTTTTTCATGCATGTGGGTTGGAACAACAATAATTGTTCTCTCTTACAGGAAAAACATAATATATATATATATATATGAGCTCTAAAACTTAAGCAGCACAAGATGGGTCATCAATATAAGTTATTCAAGCTCAAGCTGCACAGTCAAGATATGTAACAAGTACAGTTGTAAACTCCATATGATAGTAAGTTGGCATGAGCTTCACTCATCGGCAAGTTTAATGTCATAAAAGGGTTGTTTGGTGTAGCTTATGGAGTGGCTTATAGTTTATTTATTTTTGAAATATGTACTAGAGTGTTTGGTGGAACTTTTGCTTACAACTTATGTAACAAAAATAACTTAAGGTTGTGTTTGGGGCATGTCTTTGCGTAGGAATTTGAAAGAGAATGAGAAAGTGTGTGAAATGTAGTTTAATTCACATTTTACCTACATTTTCCTTATTAAATTCCTACCAAAATTCATGCTCCAAACACAACCTAAAGAAGCAGGAAAAAGTTGATTCTAAGAAGCAAGGAGAGAGGTAATTTTAGCATTTGTTTTTTGATTATCAACTTTCAGCTTGCTAGAAGCTACACCAAACTAAGCCCAAAATCTATCATCCTATGTTGGCATTACTATGTTAACATCAAACTGATAGAAACAAGATTAGTACCTCAGTGAAGCCCGCACCCACGAAGAGATCCCTCACATTATGCAAACAAAAAAAGTAGGAACGAGTTCCATTAGATCGTTTTGTCTGGCTCAAATTGAAGCATCGTCATGTCGTAAAGGCCTGAGTTTTCATCACACTAATAATTTCAACAAGTTCCAAATATGGTTCAGTAAATAAAACTGAAAAAGAATTTCAGTGTTTCACTTGTCCATCCTTAAAATGTTTTTGATAGCAACAATTCACTCGTATAAATTCATTTGTAAGGGTTCAGGATTTTCATCCAAAATCAAGCAAGAAAAATAAAAGCGAATATATATATATTTTTTAAATTACTGCAGCAAGATAAAAGTCTTCCATGCAACACATTCAGTATAAAAATTTGAAGAAAAATTTTCATTTTGAGCAAACAGTCCTAACCAAAATCCTATGAATACATATACATTTATGTTTTTTGTTGGGAAATTACCATAATCTCTGAATAGAAGTAGGCCACCAGGTTTCAATACAGTGAAACATGCTGCAATTGATGTTGGCATCCTGTGAAGTGGTAATGCCGACAGCATGGATAACTGACAGCCACAAAATACAAGAAAAAAAATCAGGATCCGAAATTCATCATATTCTTTTCTTCCTAACAGATTTGAGGTGCCACAAGTTCAGGGTCTTCGAAGTTCTATTTAATATTCATGCAGGGCATCAGTAAATAAGTTCTGAATTTCATTTACAAAAAGATGAAAAGCCTTGAATATACCAAGGCAATGGATTGGTTTGTCAAATATCTAAGTGGTTCTTGAATGATTAGACTGTAATATTGTCAAATTTTCAGGCATATTTAGGCATGGCAACAAAATCATAACGCCTAGTTTTACTAAGAACTAACATTACAGAAAAAAAGTAATAAAGACTCATTGGTCAAATTTAAAAAGTGATGAACAAACATTAAACATAGAATTTCACATGAGTAGTTCAACTATAATCTAGAAATTCACTCAATAACTCATATCAAACATTTAAATATTCAGATTGATATTCCTTAAGAAATTTGAACATTTGTACTCAGGCTGTGTTTGGATCTTAGAGTTGTGGAGGGATTTGTGAAGGACGGGAACGGGAAGGGAAAAATGAATGAAGTAGAAGTAAAGTTTATTTCACTTCTCCTTTTCCTCCACAAATCCAAACACAAAATTTAAGCAACCACAGCTTCTAATGCCGATTATGCAGCAACCAATTACATTATAATTCTTCAAAGAAAAAAAAAGAAGTAAAGTCTTACAATTGTGTTCGTATTTTGGATTTGACGAGTGATTCATGAAGGAAAAGAAAAGGAGACGGAAAAGTAAAAAAAAATTGCATTATACTTCATTCACATTTCCTTCCCTTTTTTCGTTCCCTCCATAAATGTCTTTTCAAATCTAAGATCCAAACACAACCTAAGAGGATATGTAGACAGACCCATTTCACCTCAATTTCCAACTTCAAATGCCCAACAATGCATCAAGACCCATTTTTGGAAAACTAGCAACATACCAAAGGTCACAAAATCCACCCCCACCAAGGCAGCATTTACATTCCTTCAAAGAAGAAAAATCATTTAACCCTGCCACTCTCTTGTCTTCAACATCTGGGAAAGCAGAAAAAAAATTAGCTGAGTTCCTGGTAATAGCACACAAAATTATGACATTACAAAGAAATGGATAAAGTAACTAACCTGAAAGACAAATGTCCTGCTTTTGCAGAATAACTTCCCTGCAAGAATCATAGGACAACCACTTGAGAAATCCACTAATAGAAAAATCACAAGGGAATGGATGAAAACTCTGCTTTTCCGAGACTAAATCAGCTGCATCTATCACTGCTACAATCGCATGACTATACAGTGATGCTCTCTTTTCCACTAAAAGATGGGGGAAAATGCATATCAGGTTTAAGGCCAGAAACCTAAGGATACTGAATTAATCTCTGCAAATTCACATGCTACTCAAGATTGCAATTTAATTTTAACAAGAAATTTTTTAAGGACCAAAAGAAAGAGATTCAAATGATCAACCCCAAAGCCTAGAAGAGGGACATATGACACCATTGCCCAAGAAGGGTACTTATCTATTCTTCCAAATATGTCACCCCTCTATCTGCCAAAAAAAATCTTCTTCCAAACTGCCCTGCAGGAGGACGTATCTCACCAACCTCGGGTAATTTAAGAGCATGTGATTGAAAATTCATACTGTAAACCATGTCTAATAAAGTTCAAATGAGGGAGCCCATGGACTAGTATAAAATTAATCTTAAGCGTAACTCAACTTCTCAGGTAGTACAATAATTCAAAGAAATTACTTCGATGATTGAAAATTTATAAATAGCAAATTAATTTTAAATTATCGAGAAATCCACACCCTCGATCCAGTTCAGCTTTCATCTGAATCGTTTGGATGTCGTTGTCTTCAGTCATCTCCATCTTCAAGTCGCTGGGGGAAGTGGGTGTCGTTTGGGGAAGGGTTTGAGAAGAAAGGGAGGGCTAATTTTGTACAGTAGGGTCCATGGTAAAAATGAATTTTAATTTTAGATAAATTTTAAATAACAAATAAGAGAAAGACCCCTGCTGATGAGAAAATTCTCCATTACACTCCCTAGATGGAAATAAATTAAGGGTGGGCGCGAGTTGGTTACGGTCATGAAACCTCAAATTCGTCATCTTTTTGTTAAATTAGTGGATTGGAGAAAATCAATTTGTATCCGTCCGCTAATCCGGTGGATGTGGATTGAGCGGATTGATGGATTGACAGATTGATGCGATTCGGTTTGACGGTTTAAAATTTTATAAATTTTCAATATAAATGAACTTGTGCACTTCCTCCAAAAAAAAAAAAAATATTGATTACAATTAATGACTTAAAAATGTATTTACAATCACTGCATGCTTTATCCAAAAACAGAAACTTTGAAACTTCAGAATATTATGCATCATCCGCATATTACAATCACAGCATGTTTTATGCACATAAAGTATTACAATCTATGTATCTGAAAATATAAAAACAATTCAAACTACCAAAACCATGAACAGAGTAGTAGTAGAGATTGTATGCCTCTATATTGTTACATTTATATCTGTTTTTGAAAACAAAAATCAACTAGCATATATTATCTTTTTTATTTATTATTTTTAGAGTTAGATTTAAAACAAAAAAATATAGATAAATAATACATTTATTTTTTTTTTCAATTCAAAAAATATATTCAAGTTTAAAACTTTTTTTCAACAGAATATTTAAAATCTTTTTCAATTGAAACACAAATACAATATCTAAACAAATTGAAAATACAAAGTCTTACAAATTAGTAGGGGTGCTTGCGGTTTGATGGTTCGGTTGCGGCTAAAGGAACCTCAAATCTGTCATCCGTCCAAAACTAAGCGGATTGGAAAAAATCAATCTGCAACCGTCCGCTAGTCATCACGTATCCGTCCAAAATGTGGCAGATCAGTTCGGTTTGGGCAGATCGACATATTCGCTGCTCACCCCTAAAATAAACGGATGATTGAGTTTGATGTAATATTGAAAATGTAAAGTTTAAAATGAAACAATTAAAAATTTAGAATTTAATTTGTAATAATAGTTAAATTTTTCTTAAAAAAAGGTATTTTTAATATATTTTATTTTAATTTTACCCTTTATTAAAATATGAATTGGACTTTTTAAAAATACGTTATCAAAGGATTATCCACCCACAATAAAATACAAGGTAAAAAAAATTGAAAAATTATTGAAATACCTCTATCTAACTTTGTATAATAGAAGAGGTTTAAGATTTGTTTTTATTCGCTAAGGTCCCTCGATAAATTTTTTTCTGTAAAAAAATGAAATTTCTCTGTATCAGGGCCGAAATTTTTCTGAGCCGAGCCGAAATTTCTCTAAGTTAGGTACAAATTTTTCTGAGTCGAATTTTCTCTGTGAAAATGTTGAGAGACCCCAATTACTATGAAAATATTGTATGTCTTTTATCTTTTAAAATCTTAATAGACATTAAAAAAATTCCTTGTTGTGTTTGGTTTAAGAATTTAGAAAAGGAAAAAAAAAATATTGGTGAAATATAAATAAAATATACCTATATTTTACCTAATTTTACACACATTTTCTCTTTCCCTATTTTCTCTTTTCCTTTTCAAATCATTCTCTAAATCCATGAACTAAACACAAACTCAGTACATTTGAAAAACTAATTAATATAGTCAAAAAGACACTGAAAAGTCACATAAAAAAGTCAAAATTTTATTTTCATTATTTCTCTATTTTTTGTTAATTTGTTTTGTAAAAATAAAAAAAAATATTCTTAAATATCCGTTTGGTTTAGTTTTAGAATAATGATTTGAGCGTGGAATTGTATTTTGATTTTAGAAGTTAAAGCTAATTTTTGGACCATTTTATATATCAATAACAGCTAAACATATAGTGGATGTCAAGCCATTGCTTGGTTAAAAATTAGGGTGGCAATAGAAGTTATCATTGTTAGAAATGGTTTTGGTCTATTTGTTAGGTGGGATCCATACGCCAAAGTTGATGGGTCTAAGTGGTAACACGTTCTATGCCGCGTTGTGATTCACATAGTATATTTGATTGCTCAAAATCATTATCAGGTGAATGGGAAATTGAAGCCAAAATGAGCTCCATGGAAATGGAATTTTTGGTGAAAATTCCTTAATGTTTGAATAAAGGCTTGTTCCACATTAGTTTGGTGGGAAGAATTTTGTGGGTTTATAAGGCATGAGATTGTAACTTAGAGAGGATCCCAAGGGACACCCCAAGTTTGTGGAAGGAAGAGGTTATGGGAAAATTGAGCTAGACCCATTGGACCCAAAAATAAACACAAGTGCGTCGCTGCCGTTCGTCCGTCCGGGCGGGCTGGGCAATACTTGTCTTTTTTGGGCAAAAAATATTTGAATTTATTTTTTAATTTTTGAAAAATAAATTTTGATTGTTTGAATTTAAATTTTGGTTTGAAAATTTGCACCCTTCTATTTGAAATTTGTCTGTTCCGTCTGTACAAATTTCAAATCTGTCTGTTTTAGTTCAAAAAACCCTTACCCGTTTAATTTAAAATTCAAACAAATTTATATCTGTTTAATTTAAACTGAATAGGTATCATACCTGTTGGATTCAAACCAAACAGCCACCATTTTCATCTATAAATAGGCATTCCCTTAATTGATTTTTTCACTCCAATTTTCGTCCTCAATTCTTCTTTACTCTCTCTGAATTTTGCTGTATTATTTTTCTGTGAAAAAGAGTGTATACACAAAGTGTGTTTGTTGTATGAATAATTTGTAGTGTTGCAATTATTCGTAGTTGATCATTTTATCCTGGGAGATAAACGTCCATAATCTGAAAGTACCGTGGAGAGGACAAATTTGTCTTAAGGACACAGTGTTAAACACTAGACTTGATCAGAAAATTTGTTCAACAAAATTAATTTGGTAAGTAATTAATTTACTTTTCTATTTTATTATTTTTCTTGTTTCAGATTTTGATTTTATTTTTGTAATAAAATAAATTTATTTTATTTTATTTTCTGGTTTGATTTTTGCAATCAAACAAACTCTCTCATTTCCTTCATTTCTTCTATATTCCGTTTGTTTTTAAGTACACAAACAAAATTTATTTTTAAATACATTGAAGATTGTCTAACAATCTTAAGACATATTATTTTTTGGTGTCTTCATTGTATTTATTTTTTTGTGCTTTCACAAAGTGATATTTTGGTTGGAAAATACAAATAGTAAGAATATGCTGTTTATTTTCTTTGACAACTAATAGTAATATACTGGTGTCATTAACAATTGCAGAATATTAATTTGTGATACAAAAAATTATTGTGGTATTTTATTTTTCTAGTTTTAGTAACAAGGAAAATAAAATTATTTTGTGTTATAATTTTTTCTAGTTTTAGTAACTAGAAAATTAATTTGTGTTTTGGTTTTTTTCTAATTTTTGTAATAAGATATTATGGCTGTTAAAAGTAGTACTCCAAATCCGATCGTTATAACGGCTTCGGTCCCTATCCAGAACCATGTTCAAGTTTCAATAAATCATGGAGAAAAACGAGAAAAATTTAATGACATTGAGCTTAAGAGATGGCAGCAGAAAATGCTATTCTATCTTACAACTCTAAATTTAGCCCGGTTTCTCCGCGAAGAGACTCCAGTACTTAGAGAGGATGAAAGTGATCGACAAGTTGTTGCAGCTGTAGATGCTTAGAAGCATTCTGATTTCCTGTGCAGAAACTACATCCTCAATGGCCTAGACAATATGTTGTATAATGTTTACAACCCTTTGAAATCAGCAAAAGAATTGTGAGATTCTTTGGAGAAAAAAATACAAGACAGAGGATGCACAAAGAAATTTGTTGTCGGTAAATTTCTAGACTTCGTTATGGTAGATTCCCAAACGGTAATTTCTTAAGTTCAAAATTTTCAATTAATTTTGCATGATATTCATTCTGAAGGTATGTCTCTTAGCGAGTCTTTCTAAGTCGTTGCTTTAGTGAAAAAGTTACCACCGGTTTGGAAAGATTTCAAAAATTATTTAAAACATAAACGCAAGGAGATGACCATAGATGAATTGATTGTAAGACTAAGAATTAAGGAAGATAACCGACAGGCTGAAAAGATGAATGGGAAAAATCCCATTGAGTCCAAGGCTAATGTGGTTGAACAAGTGCACAAACCATATAACAAAAAGAGGAAGTTTTCTGGAGATAGTCCTAAACAAGACGACAACAATAGCAATAAGAAGTTCAAAGGTAAATGCTATAACTATGGCAAGACCGGACATCGGGTTTCTAATTTCCGCCGCCTTAAGAAGGATCACAGAAGTACAAGCAAGAAGACCACCAATCAAGCCAATGTGACAGAATTAGATTACATCTCTGACGGGATAAATGACATCAATCTCTCTGCTGTGGTGTTTGAGGCTGATATGGTTGGAAATCCCAAGGAATGGTGGGTTGACACTAAGGCAACTCGACACATTTCCGCGGACAAGAAGATGTTCACTACTTATAATGAGGCTGCAAATGGTGAACAACTTTTCATGGGAAATTCTTCTACTTCTACTGTGGTTGGGCAAGGAAAGGTGATATTGAAGATGACATAAGGGAAATAACTTACCCTCAATAACGTACTGCATGTGCCAGACATCTGGAAGAATTTAGTTTCTAGTTCTTTGTTAAGTAAAAATGGTTTTAGGTTTGTATTTGAGTCTGATAAATTTGTATTAATAAAGAGTGGTATTTATGTTGGTAAGGGATACATGAGTGATGGTCTCTTCAAGTTGAATGTAATGACGGTTGTACCAAAACTTTCTATTAATAAGAATAACATATCTTT